TACACAGTCGGGAAACCACAGGGAGGCAGCCTGAAGGAGCTTGACATTTTCCATGCTCAAATAGGTTCTCATTAAAAATGAATTCTTGCTGGGCTCGGTGGCTCAGCCTGTCATCCCGCGCCTTTGGGAGGCTGAGGTGAGTGGATTGCCTGACCCGTGGGTTCGAGACCCGCCTGGGCAGCGAGACCTCATCTCTACAATAAATCAAAAAATCAGCCAGGCGTGGTAGCGCACGCCTGCAATTCCGGCTACTCGGAAGGCTGAGGCGGAAGGATCGCCGGAGCCCAGTGGGTCGAGGCTGCGGTGGCCGGGAGCGGCCACTGCACTCCAGCCTGGGCGACAGAGTGAGACTCCAACTCAAAAAAATAAAAATAAAAATAAATAAAAAATAAAAATAAAATGTAAATTCTTGCCGGGCTGGGTGGCTCAGCCTGTCATCCCAGCACTCTGGGAGGCCGAGGTGAGAGGATTGCCTGAGCCCAGGGGTTCGAGACCCGCCTGGGCAACTTGGCAAGACCTCGTCTCTACAATAAATTAAAAACTAGCCGGGCATGGTAGCACGCGCCTGTAGTTCCAGCTCCTTGAAAGGCTGAGGCGGAAGGATCGCTGGAGTTGAGCAGGTCGAGGCTGTGGTGGCCGGGAGCGGCCACGGCACTCCAGTCTGGGAGACAGAGTGAGACTCCAACTCAAAATAAAACAAAACAAAAAATGCAAATCCGCAGGCTCCACGCAGAACTACCGAGTCAGATTTTCCAGGGAAAGATGAGAAGACTTGAAAGTGAGGAGAGCTGGGTGCTTCACCCCACCTTACCCCAACCTCCGGCCAAGAAGCTCTTACCCGCCTGGAGCTCCTTGGTTCCTGGAGCCTCTAGGTCACGTGGAAGGCCAAGGCCGACTTCTTTCCAGATTCATAAAACTCACCCTGCAGGTGGCAACAAAGCAAAGCCAGGTCCTCACGGCCCATAACAATGACGCTTTGTCCCAAGTCCGCCCACCGCTCCGAGCCTTTCCTGCTGTCTCCAGGTCTTTCCAGACTTCTGTCTCTGGTTATAGGACCTCTTGTCTGCCTCCCACACCCTTAAGCTTCTGCTCCACTGCTGGGTAGATGGAGACAGTCGTGACACTTTTAAAATCTGGCGACTTTTCTGTGTTAATATCTCACGACCCTTTCCCTTGACAGCAGAAAGACCAGGGCCTTAGGCTACTCTTAGGCCATTCTAGCCAGAAGCTACCATGGCCGAGAAGCATCCCCAGCTGGAACCCGCACCGCCCGCGGCGGGCCTGTCTCATGGGGAAGGGCTCCCCAGAGCCCCCCGCAGCCCCGTTCGGCTGCAAATTGCTCACTGTGTAGCCTGCCCGGGTGGTGACCTGACTTCTAGGAATCAGAGTCAAGCAGAGGGTGGAGATGGGAGAGGGGAGACAGGTTCAGACAGGGCTCTGGGCCCTGAGGAGCTCTGTCTGTGAATTCGTTCAGTTTGGGTTCTCGGCAAGGGGTCAGCATTCCAATGCCGCGGGACCCCCGGGATACCTGCCCGCATGGGATCCTCCACCTGGAAGAACCCTGTCCCCAGCCCAGTCCAGGAGTCTCTGACACCTCTGCTCGCATAATGATGGAGAAGACAGCCACCAAAGCATTTTCTG